ACCTTAGCATTTTGAAGGGACTGTCATCATATATTTGTAGGCAACATCGAGGAACAAGATCATTTCTCGTAGGCAACTCGAGGGACTATGATCTTTTTGATGACTTTAGAATTAATGGTCTTTTGCTAAGATATCCCTACGTTCGAGGGACATGACCATTGTTTTCCGAGGCAACCAAGTGAGGAGTGTACCCTAGGAGTGCGCATGTGCGAGTGATTCAATTTCAAGTTTATTATCTTTGCACATTTAGGGTTAGCTAACCGTTTTAAAGTTAATCATACATTCTTGTCATGCATCCCTATTATTCATACATCTAACAGTTAATATTTGCGGAATTTAAAGTGCGGAAAATAAACTAAGCTATTACAAGGCTTCGGGTATTTACATAGCCAAAAACAAACTCTTAAAAAAACGATAAATGAAAGTAAAATGTCATAATTAATCTATTACAACTTGTGAGCAATTACATTAATATGGTAAAATAAAATAAAGCGCGTGCGAATAAAGAACGAGAGAGAATTAGAGTTTTGACCCCGTCTAACCTAATAGAAAGAAAAATTATTTTTTGTTGTTTTTAATTATTTCTAAGAAAAAAGAATTAGATTTTTTAAAATTAAATACAAAATTAATTAGTAATTAAATTAGTTTAAAAAAATAATTAAATGACCTATTTTTGTGTTTTGTTATTTTAAGAAGAAAAAATAGAATTAAGTTAGAAATAAAATCCTAATTGTTCTAATTAATTTTAATTTATTTACAAAATAATTAAAGTTACCTAAAATTAATTATTCGAGTTTATTATAAAAAATCAAAGGTTTGTGAAAAATGTTAAGTTTTATGAAGAAAAAAAGTTTTAAACAGAAAGAATAAAAATAGGTAAAAGGATAAATAGAAATGAAGAAAATCAAAACCAATAGGGGTGGTTGTTGAACTCGCGCCCTTAACATTCTCAGGATGTCTGCATTGTCATGCATTGGTGCCATGTGTTGGTTGTTCTGTTTTGGCCATTTGTGTTTTGGCCTCAACATTCTGTAATGAACCTGCCTGGGATCCTGTCTAAATCTGCAGTGCTGAATCTCATGAACACATTAAATAAATTACTATATATCATGAAATACAAATAAAGTCAATATATGAAAAAATTTAATGTTAAAACTGATATGGCATGTATGAATGATTATACACTTTTGATCATGGAGATCAAACCAGCCTTACCCTTACTGGAGAAGTAGTGAGATGAATGCTTTTATGCTCTTTTGATCATGGAGATCAAGCCAGTCTTACCCTTACTGGAGAAGTAGTGAGATGTGGGTTTGTAATAGGGATGGCTTGTTTGTAGTGAGATGGAGGTTTATAATAAGGATTTCAAGGTTTTAGGGTTCTTGAAAGAATTTGATATTCTGACAGCGTTGTGGCAAAAACTTTTTTTCTCCTCCCTTTATTTGTGTGAAAAGAATGAGATTATATAATAGAAATTAGAGAGAGAAAAAAATGGGCTTTAAATGTGCAATTGGACCTCCAATGTTCACTTGAGTTCGTCACGTTCTAGGCAAAATCGCTGGGGCTTAAGTGCAATTTTTGAAGTTGAAATGTGAAAACAAAATGTAGCCGACATCGAGAACTAACTCCTTTCCGAGAATGGGCTCAATCGGATAAACAGTGAATTAGTTATGAATTTTTAAAGTTTCAACTTAGACAAACTTATTTTGGGCTCCAGTGTCGACTCTGACACGTTCTTCAATAAAAAAACTGGTATTGATCGGAGCATAATTCGGTCTCAACTTTTAAAGCAAAGTTGTAGATCTCTGAGTCTGTGACCTTGTGTAAAAATATGAGCCCAATCCGATAAAAATTGACCGAGTTATGAATTTTCGAAGTTTCGATCCAAATAAAATAATATTCAGCATTCAGGATTTTCGGCGCGTCACGCGTACTCTGAGCAAAAAATGAAGGCCTTTTGGATACCGTTCAAACTCAATACCTTCTGTGAAAACTTAGCCAACTCAATTTATGAAATTCTGGCGCCAGAACCAACTCGATACGATGAAAATCGACCAAGTTATGATTTTCTGAACATGACGCAAATAAACTTCAGTCACAAATTTTCTGTACGAAAATACTTGATAAATCCGCATTTTTGAAGACCTTCTGATCGAAATTAACTTTCAGTCGTGAGAGATGAAAACTTAGATGACGTCAATACGGAATTTTGGCCACTGGAGCGGGTTCAAAACGAGCCAAGATCTTCAAGTTATGAATTTTTTAGCGCGTAAAAACTGCACTTTCAACACACTTTTTCACCATATTTCTTCGAGAAAACTCACACATTCGGATACCTTCTTTAAAGAATTGACTCTTGAGCCGAACCTGAATTTGAGAATACGTTATCAGAGATATCTTGGCGAAAGAACACCTGAACATGACGCGCCGGGTTGGACTTGTGAATCTTTGAACCCCGAATTGTTGCAAAACGGTGAATCGATCTTCAGCACAGAAAATACTCTGAGAATATCCATTGACGAAATAAACGTCACTTGTAACCTGAAGAAGCTTGATAAATATACCTTTATTCCATAACCATAAAACCAATAATATGCGTGTATGAAAAGAGGGCAAATTTTGGGGTACAACAGTTGCGCTATTGAGAGACACAAAGCACGGTTGGTAGACAAAGGATATTCTCAAATAGACCGAGTAGATTACTTTAATATGTTCTCTCCAATTGTCGAACTTATGATAGTCAGAGACCTTCTTACCCTGGTTACAATTAATCATTATCATTTTGAACAATTGGATGTCAATAATACTTTTTTACATGGTGATTTAAATGAAGAGGTCTATATGGATTTACCTTCTGGTCATCCTACTTCTAATTCAAGTCCTCCTAAAGTCCACAAACTTCACAAATTAAGTTATTGTCTGAAACAAGCAAGCAAGCGGTGGTGCTCCAAGTTATCTCTAGCCCAACTTAACTTGGAGTACGCTTAATCTTAAGCAGACCATTCACTTTATCTTAAATCATATGCCAAACATTTCACAACCCTATTGGTTTATATTGGTAACATAGTTCTTGCTGGTAATTGTATGACACATATCCAACAAGTCAAACTTTTCGTTAACCACCAAATTTGCATCAAAGATCTTGGAAAACTTAGGTATTTCCTTGGTCTTGAAATTTTTAGACCAGGAGAGGATGTTGTGGTTAATCAAAGGAAATACACCCTTGAACTACTTGAAAATAAAATTTACTTTGGTGTTTAGCCATTTGTCATTCCCCTCAATCCTATAACCTAACTTTCTCAAAATGAGAGTACTCCCCTAGAAGATCATACCTCCTATAAAAGACTTACCGAAAGACTCATACAGCTCACTCACACTAGACCTGTCATTTCTTTTTCTATGCAACACTTAAGTCGGTTCATATCCAAAATTTTGACCCCTCATTTCAATGCAACAACCATCATTCTCAAATACCTTAAATCATCACTAGGCAAAGGCACTTTTACTCCAACACTGCTCCAATTAAACTTCATGGTTTTGTTGATTCTGATTGGGCAAGACGTCTTGATTCTAGAAAATATATCACAAGTTATCGTGTCTTCCTAGGCACCCCCACTCATCTCTTGGAAATCTAAGAAGAAAATCTCAATGTCCTCCACTAAGGCAAAATACCGAGCTCTATCTTCTCTCACATGCGAACTTCGAGGGCTTCACAATCTTCTCATTGATTTTTGCATCACACTTCCTCAACCTTCTTCTATTTATTGTGATAGCAAACCAGCTACCTACTTGACACATAATTCTAATTTTCATGAACGAAGCGAACACATTGAAATAGACTATCATGTTATTCGAAAGAAAATATAAAGCAAACTAATCCTTCTTCTTCTGTCAGCAGTTCCAACCAGCTTGCAGATGCTTTCACCACGCCTCTTTCACTGAGCCTTTTCCTTGCCAACATGTCAAAGTTGGGGTCTATGTGAAATTCATAGTCCAACTTAAAGGAGGATGTTAATTGTATATGTTTCTTACAGTTGAAGTAGCTGTTTCGTTTAACTATTTTTTATGGTTAGAAAGTTAGCTAAGATTAGTTATAAAAATTAGTTAGTTTGTTAATTAACTTTCTCTTGATTTCTTCATATATAGAGGATCATCATTGTGTATTTTCCCATGTAACTTTCATTCATTCAATAAATGAGTTGACTTCTTTAAGCTCAAAGTTACTCTATTAACAATTATTAGGAGGAAAAATTTGCATATGTTGGCATTTTGTTATAAAAAAAAAGTCCTTAAGTTACTGATAGCAAATTAATATCGAGTAATTTTCAACTTTCAAGAAACTCACTTCACACAAGTATCTTTTACTTAGGGAACAGATACCTCTGAATGCTGCAAGATTTGGACTTATGTTGACGTTTATAAAAGATACAAGGACAATGACCATAGAGGTTGCCCCTTAGGATAACGTGTCTAATACCTTGTTTTTTGTTATGAGATATTCAATGCCAAACATAACCAAGAAACAAACACCGGACATGTCACTTGATCACGTTCAGCTTCTTAGCCTTTTGTCAATTGTCATCATCAACCAACAAAGATCATATTGTTTTGATAAAAACTACAACAACTCATCATTAATGATTAAAGATAAGTTAAACTGTCCTAGTTTGTTTGCTACTAGTACTTGCTGGTAAGATAAGTCCACAATGGTAAATATACATTGGATTGAAGAGAGAGACGAGATTACAAGCTTTTTCATCCAGTTGAAGAGCATAGAATTTGTTGAAGACATAAATTTCTTAAAACAATTTCAAGGTTTTGACTCATTCTATATATTATTCTTACGATGTTAATCCTACGCTCCCTCTACACTACTATACAAATATGCAAAATTATAGAAATGAAACTATATAAATCAAAAGTACGACAAGAATGCAGTTTTCATGGTGAACTTTTGCAACATGCAGTTCTGTAGTTTAGTTCTTCAGAATGAGCTTCATTCATAGGGAAGGGGAACCACCAAATTGGCGTGGTGATTCCATGACCGTGTCACCCTCTAGTATTCGCAAAACCTGTGTTCAAACAAGCACAAGTATAACATCAAACTCGGGGGAAACCATAAAATGGTGCAACACAGCAACAGCATATCAAAACGATAGTTTTACTACTTTGACTTCTGAAAAGTTTTTCTCACCTGTGACATGCGTGGTCTAGAATAAGGATCTCGCCTTATGCATAAGGATGCAGCATGCAGCATGCTAGAGACCTCGTGTTCTGAATAGCGACTTCCCAACCTTGGATCAATCAGTTCTTCAATGGCATACTCTTCTAACAGTGGTCGTGCCTGTTTATTATCCAAATCCCTCTGATGATATTTCTCATTAACATTATTTAAACATCTTGAAATCATGCCAATACTAGATTAGGTAAAAGTGTTATTTAACTTACCCATTCTGTAAGACACTGCTGTCCTTTGGGCCGGTTGATATCGACAGCTTTACGCCCGGTCACAAGCTCCACTAATACCACTCCAAAGGAATAAACATCAGCCTTTTCAGTTATTTGTCCACTTTGAGCATATTCAGGAGCCAAATACCTATAAAGTGTAACATAGGTTCGTTGTATCGATATTATTGCGTGCGATAATTAAACAAAGGAACTAACTAAGGAGTAAAACAGCACAAACCCAAATGTCCCAATAACTCGAGTATCCACTCCAGTGTCTCCGTCAGGCTGCCACCTTGCGAGTCCAAAATCACCAACCTTGAAGAATTTATCGCAATCAATTAATGAACTGAACATTATAACAGATAGATAAAATGACTATGCTTTTAATTGTATAGTACTATGAAACTGAATAGCACAAAGCAGGACATGCACAACACTACCAGTGGTTCAAAATCGTGAGTGATAAGAATGTTGTTGGGCCGCATGTCACGGTGAACAATGCATCCCACTCTGCACTCTTCATGAAGATATCGCAACCCTCGGGCAGCTCCAACAGCAATTTTCTGCCGCGCAGACCATTCTAACGGTTTATGCTGTCTCCCTGAAAGACCTCAGAAAGTTCAAGCCAATTCAAAAGCAAAATTCTATCATGACATGATTTTTGTATGGAGGCATAAAAAAATTACCGTATAAATGAGTATCCAATGATCCATTGCATATATATTCATAAACCAGAAGTCTTCTTTTATCCTCTATACAGAACCCAATTAACATAACAACATTCCGATGCTGTGCACAACTCAGGACTTCTACCTCTGAGCAGAACTCAAGATCTCCTTGAGAACTAGCCAATTTATGTTGCTTGACAGCAATGACTTGCCCTTCAGGTAAAACTCCCCTGTGAACAGATCCGAACCCTCCTTCTGCCAAGAAATTGGTTGGTGAAAATCCATCAGTGGCTAGTTCCAACTCAGCGTAGCTGAACCATCTTGGAGGTTTTCCAAAAACAGGAGCCTTGTGTTGACATATTGAACATAATGGAGGAGGGCCAGGTGCGGCGTTTCTAGATAACGCTACTGCTTCTCTAACGCTTCCACTGAACTCCAAGTATGACATAGAGGTTGAGATTTCAATTTCGGCTTCTCTGTCAAGCCTCGAAAACTTCTCTAGCAAAGCTCTTGTTGTGAAAGTTTGAAGCATATTACGCGAACTCTCTGACCTTTTCTCCTCACGTTGAGATGACTGTTTACGTAGAAATAAATCCGACATCCACGGCTGAAATCTCAAGCTTGCTGAAGATGCGGACAAATGTTCACCGTCCGTGTCAGAAATAGTATCATCAGTTTCTTGATTTTCTTCTATAGTCTCCTCTTTCTTTGACTTGGCAATGATTTCAGAGACACAAAATGGCGAAGTTCCATGATCAGAGCTTGAAACCGATGAAGTGCCAGCTTCGGTTGCAGTAAATGATGTCTCTACCTCAGGGCTGCTAGTTGGCGTGAGAACTCCTAATGTGGAACTCGAAGAACCATTCTTCTTGTCGGATTGTTTTCCTAGCATCTCATGCTGCTCAGAAGGTAATTGACATGTTTCTTCAAGATCCTTCTTCTGTGATCCAACCAAATTCAAGCGAAGTGTCTTAGGTTGAGAACCCTTCATAACCGCAATGTTACATTGCAGTTCTTCCATGCATTGTTTTTCTTCATGCTTGAGATGTCTGTAAAGAAAAAATACCAAGACACAACAAGATCACAAACTGAATCATAATTAACATTAATAAAATAGTACATCCGAAATTGCGAATACATCAATTTTGTTTCCGAATTCCGACAAAGTATAAGCTACTTACTTGTCTAACACAACCCATTTGGCTTGTACTTTCTTAGCTTCCGCAGCCACTGCTCCACAAGGCGATCCAGAAACAATTTTAATCCTAACATTTATCTGTTCAACAACGATTAGCATATCGCTACAAATACAAAAGAACACGCACAATAAAAAATTTCTACATAAAGACTACTAACCTTATTCGGATCATAGACATCATGAAGCTGAAGAATCATTTGAGAGCAAGAATCAGTAATATCATTCTTGTTCTCCGAACTAGCTCCAGCCGTTGCTGATTTCTTGTGTCCATTAGCACAGTCACCAGCAAACCGCGGGAAGCCCCATAATTTTCGGCCTATTACAAGTGCAGTAACATCATTAGTTACGCGAAGAGGATCACAGACATACACAAAATTTAACAAAACAAAAGGATGCAAAAGAAAATGACCTGAATTTTGAGAAGGCACAACCACTAGCAGTGTAATGCAATCACCAGGCTGAACAACATGAGTTAACGACCAAACAAGCGCAGTCTTCGGAATTTCCTTCGACGCCTTAACAGCAACAATAACCTTCTCAGCACCATCAGAACCCTTATCAACCTTCCCTCGCTTCTGTTCTCGATTCATCGCCACAGCAACTAAACTAATAATCCCTCAAAACTCCCTTCCTCAAACAAATATCACTCAATAACCATAACCATCAAAGCTTATTTTTACTCTAACTAGTTACCTAAGACAAACCTAAAACAGAAAAAAGAATCTTAATCCAAAGATTCCACTACAGAAATAGCAAAACATTGTTGACATTTGAAGTGATCCTATATCAGTCCTTTATATCCTGCACAAATCACAATCTCACATTCAAGTTCAATCAAAGAACAATAATGCAAAGATGAATAAATTAACAATGTGAGACATACACATAGGTCAACTAAACTAAATATCATTTCATTACTATGGAAGAATGAATGAAGACTAATAACATCATCAACCACTAGAAAACAAGAAGAACAAAGACGGCAAAGAAAAATATCCAAATTCCAAACCTTTCTTTTTCTCTATTATTATACCAAACATTGCATAACATTGAACACATTCAGCAAAAAAATAAAAACATAAAACAAAAACCACAACCAAAAATAATAATGCATAAACATCAAAACCTAACTGAATAAGTAACAAAAAAAAAAACATGAAAATCAAGCTTACTTTTGTAGTTACATTGAACGGTTGTTTGAGCAGAAGAAGATATGAAAATGTAGATAAGAAAGGTGGAAGAAGGATTGTGAGAGTGAGAGAGTGAAGTAGAATACAAATATGGTTCTGTTGTGTTGAAATGAGAGTGTGTGTGTGAAAGAGACATGGGGAAGAAGAGAAAAAACCGAACAGTGTTGTTATTATTGTTATAAAGTTTTGTTTTTTATTTTTATTTTTTTAAGTTTTAAATTGGTTGCATTTAATGTGGTTTTCAGACATTGAAAGTTTAAATAAGAAAGAAAGGTGATTTTATTAAATAAAATTTATGAGTAGAAAGAAAAGAAAAGACTTTATGGAGAGAGTGAATCAGATTTTGTGCAGAGAAAGTGGGCTAGGATGTGTACTACTAGTACTAGTGTTTGAGATACTAGTATGTGCCCCATTTCTTATACTAGTATGTGTCCAACTTTAAATATTAAGTAATATTTGGAGCAACTCTTCCATAGTCACAAGATTTTTGGCCACAAATTTTAGACATACTTACATAAACATAGATTTGAGAATTATTTTATTATTTTTTTATGACACTTAAAAGAAAGAAAAAGAGATAAAACTTATATTTTGTGAGTGTGCCTAAGAGACTCATATTTGTGATTGTGACTATACAAGAATAACTAGTAATATTTGTGTAAATTTATAAGATAATAGGATTTAATCAATGTTAAATATTTTTGAACACTATCCAAATTAGATCTTTCATGATGAATTTTGATATAGTATTCTTGATAATTCTTTAAGTTAATGAAAAGTTTAAGGGAGATCAGTCAAGACTAAAAGAAATTTGTAGTGGTATTATAACTTTTATTGTAGTTAGGTATGGCAAAATCGATTTGATCTATTAGACGTGTAATTTTGCTTGCACTTTAGTGCGAGGCGGGTCAAGTGTTTAGGTATACATTCAGTAATGTGTTTGTTTTGTCCTATTTCATTTATTTGTGAATTTTTGTAGACATTGTTAATGTGTGAGATATTTTTAGTGAGAAAAGAAAAAGAGAATAATAAAGAAAATAAAAATTATATTATTCATTTAATGAATGGTACAAAATAAGAATATATACTATGACTATTTATATACAACCTTAATTGGGCTTGGACTAACACAAATTGGATTATATTTAAATATTAAATCTAATCAAATCTAATCTAATATATTTTAATATTTCAACACACCCCCATAATCCAAGTTATCGAACCTACGCTAGTCATAGTCGATCTGAATAATTCTTAACTTCTTTCTCAAATTCAGGAATTTGTCGATCTTCAATCATTTGATGAAAATGTTGGCCAACTGTGCTTCACTCGAGCAATGCATAACTTCAACTTCTCCTCGATTTACTTTTTCTCTCAAAAAGTGAAACCTAGCTTCGATATGTTTACTTCTTCCATGCAGAACTGGATTCTTCGTCAGATTTATGACTGACTTGTTGTTGATTTGCAACACTAGAAGTTTCTTCACTCCGACCTTCATTTCTTCAAGTACATATCTGATCCAAATTGCTTGACATGCAACATAGGATCCTACTATATATTCAGCTTCACGCGAGGACAATGTCACCAAAGGTTACTTCTTCGAACACCATGAGTTTGGAACACCAAATACTTGAAATAAAAATCCAGTTGTGCTTCTCCGATCTTCCTTATCTCCATACCAATCAACATCTGAAAAGTAATTAACTATTGCTTCCTTGTCTTCAGAATCTCGTCGAAATAGTATTCTACAGTTTATCGAACCCTTCAAATATCTCAGGATTCTTCTTGCAGCCTTCATATGTGGCATCTTTGGTTCACTCATATATCTGCTTACTAATCTGACAGTGAAACCTATATCAGATCGACTGTTGCACACATATCTTAGAGATCCCACAATTTTCTTGAACAAAGTTACACCGACTTTGTCTTCCTCTCCATTCTTCTCCAACTTCACATTTGGTTCGACGGGTGAGAATGCAGGATTCGAATCATCCATTATGAATATCTTGAGTATCTCTTTCACATACTTCCTTTGATGTAGCACCATACCTTACTTTGACATTTCAAATTCCATGCCCAGGAAATAAGACAATTTTCCCAGATATGTCATTTCAAATTCCTTCATCATCAGCTTTTTGGACTTCGACAAGTTCTCCAAGCTATTTGCAATTACTAACAAGTCATCGACATATAAGCAGATGATTGTTATATCTTCTGCTACAACTTGAACATAGACACCATACTCAGACTTGCATTTTACAAATCCTAATTTGAATAAGTATGAGTCGATCTTCTTGTTCCATACCCTAGGTGTTTGGTTGAGGTCATAGAGTGTTTTGTGCAACTTATATACTTTACTCACTTCCTTCGGAATCACAAACCTTGGAGGTTGTGTGACATAGACCTCTTCATCTAAATGACCATTCAGAAATGTTGGTTTCACATCTAAATGAAATGTCGACCAGCCTTGATTGCATGCCATTGCTACCACTAGTCGAACAATCTCCAATCTTGCTACTGGAGCAAATACTTCAGAGTAATCGAGTACTTATCGTTGAAGAAACCTTGAGCTACTAATATTGATTTATGTCTTAATATCGACCCATCGGCATTGTGTTTCAACTTGAACACCCACTTCACTTTTATAGATTTTGTATGTGTTGGTAATTCGACTAACTCCCATGTATTGTTTCTTTCGATTGCCTATAACTCTTCTACCATAGCTAACTTCCATTTTTTAATATTCAAAGCTTCGTTATGATTAACTAGTTCAACACCTGGAAGTAAAGGAAAAATGAACTAATTCTCCATCTGGTGTGACTTCATCATCACCTATTATCTCATTATCATGAAGTCTTGTTGGAAGAACTTTATTTCTTTGAGGTCTTTGGCTTGTTTCAGCCACTGCCTCTTCAACTTCGACTGATTCTAGAATGTCAGCGACTGCTTTTACTTCGACTTCGATTGGATTCTCAACAATTCCTTCGACTTCAACTTCATCAGTTTATTCGTCAAAATCGAATATCATCAATGGCTTGTTAATTGAATTACTAGAATTCCAATCCCAAGCAGAATTTTCATCAATCACAATATCTCGACTTAACACAATCTTCTCATTAATTGGATTGAATAGCCTGTATGCACCATTCTTGTGATATCCTACCAAAATTATAGGTTCACTCTTGTCATCAAGTTTCCTTCTTCTCGCATCAGGAACATGCTTGTAACACATAGAGCCAAACACCTTCAAATGACTCACTAATGGTCGTTTGCCACTTCATACTTCTTCAGTAACCTTGTTCTTCAATATCTTGGTAGGACACATGTTCAAGATATAAACTGCAGTCGAAACAGATTCACCCCATAAAGATTTTGGTAAATTCTTTTGCTTCAGCATGCATCTCGCCATGTCCAATATGGTTTTGTTTCTTATTTCGGCAATTCCATTATGTTGGGGCGTATAAGGAGCAGTTACCTCATGATTAACACCATGTTCTGCACATAATTTTTCAAACATTTTCGAAGTGTATTCGCCACCTCTACCTGTTCTCAGAACTTTGATCCTCTTCTCACTCTGGTTTTCGACAAGCAACTTGAATCTCTTAAAGATTTCAAATACTTCGCCTTTTCTCTTGATCATATAGATCCACAACTTTCGACTAAACTCATCGATAAATGAAACAAAGTATCTGTTTCCACCAATGGTATGTTCTTCGAACAGACCGCATACATTTGAATGTACCACTTTAAGTATGCATGATGATCTCATTGGCATAGTCGAAACAAAAAAAATTGGATTGTTTTCCGTCTAAACAACCTTCACAAAGTTTTTTGGGTATCTCAAGACTTAGGATGCCAGATACCATATCTTGAGTGATCAGCTGATTGAGTGATTGGAAATTCAAAAATCCAAACCTCTAATGCCACAACCAACTATCCTTGTGGTGGATAACAATTTTTAAACATTGTACTTCACTCGAACCAATCATGGTGTTAAACATCCCGTTCTTCGACAGAGGAGATTTTAAGACCAAATTGTTCTTGGTGTCGAACAATTTTAAAACTCCATCTTTCATGACAACTGAGAAACATTTTTCGATTAGTTCTCCAACACTTAGCAAGTTTCACTTTATTCCAGGTACATAGAGCATATCTTTGATCATAGCTTTACCTTCATTACTCATTTGAAAGATTATGTTGCCAGTACCTTCTGCTTGCAACGAGCTATTATCAACAAGTTTTACCTTGCTCTTCTTCAACTCTTCAAAATCTGCCAACCACTTCTTTCGACCAGTCATGTGGTTCGAGCAGCCTGAGTCGAGAAAATAGATATTGGATTCGATATGGTTATCTGCAACTGAAGCCATAACCACCATACCAGCTTCTGAATCATCTGAATC